TTTTTGAGTTATTTGGGAAAAAAGAATTTCGACAAAATGCAAATTCCGTTTCCTAGGTAACACTGATAGAACTAAATATTATGCCAAACAAAACTTTAGTCAATGCTTATAAAATACTTTTTCTCTTGGTGGTGTGTAGGATTTTTTTTTCTTGTATGTAACATTTTTTTGGCTTATTTTTTTTTAAGATTTTTTTTTCAGGTCCATATGTTTTTTTTTTTTTTTTTGGTGAAGATGGCTTGCAGGTTTTTTTTTTCAAAATCATCCACACCCCCCCCTCCTTTTTTTTTAACCCTCAAAAGTTTAATGGTTCGTCTTTTTTTTTCCATACCGTATAGTGACGTTCGGTCGTTTTTTTTTTCAAAGGAAGACCAAGTAAAAAAGATTTTTTTTTTATGGATTTAGTGGGTGGATACGAAAGTTTTTTTTTTTCTTTTAACACTTACAGCCTGTTTCTTTTTTTTTGAACCCAAAAGTTGATGGATCCAAAGTTAGAACGAAGTCCAATGTTCATCTCGGACATGCATTTTTTTTTCGTTACTATGACACRTCAATGAAAACTTTTTTTTTAGCTACACTAGATATTAACACAATCCAACCAAGTGGAAGCCTGTACAAAAGCTCTTTACCTCTAGATTATTATCGTAAGTATTGCTACTATTGGCATTTTTTTTTTTGCATACGAGTAGTGTCTTGTATCGTTTTTTTTTAATCTGTGTTGTGTGGCTGTCTTATGTTTTTTTTTGAGCAACGTAGATAAGGGAAATTGGTTTTTTTTTTTAAACCATCGAGTCCATTTTTTAAGCACCCGCGACACAAGGCACTCGCGTGTTGTTTGCTTTTTTTTTTTCCGTCGCGTACCACCATAGGAAATCCATAAACCGCGCGTTAAATAGAAATGTGAAATTGTTTTTTTTTTTAATTGCTGAAAGTTCGATATTGGCATTTTTTTTTACAACCAGCGCTTCGTGCGAAAGATCTTTTTTTTTAGCACGACGTCTGAAAACCTGGCTAATTTTTTTTTTGATACAGCAACGATTCACCTATCTCTTTTTTTTTAATTGCCATAAGAGAATCAACGCAGCTTTTTTTTTACGAAATCTCCAATGCCTATCCTGGGTTTTTTTTTAACCGAAAGAAGAATTTTGGATTGTTTTTTTTTTTTGGAGAGAAAAAAGCCACAAGAATCGGAAACATTTATTATATCATTCTATCAAATTAATTTTTTTTTTTTACGATGAAAAATTCCATTTCTCATTGTTTTTTTTTGCAAAATTTCCATAAAATTATTGCATTTTTTTTTTTCGCAATGCTCTCATGGTGCTAGAAATTTTTTTTTCGAGGATTAAAATTCAACAATTTTCCTTTTTTTTTAACCCCCCCTTCCCCCTCCTCCACATTTTTTTTTTCTACGCGGTCCCTGTGCATACAGGTATTTTTTTTTCCAATCTTACCAAGATATCGCACTTTTGCATGCCATCCAGCAGAAGTCAATGCGTGAGAGATTTTTTTTTAATGCGTTATTTCTCGATTCGCGATTTTTTTTTTTTGACGCGAGCGCGCATTGTTTTCTAGTTTTTTTTTCGCTCGCCTCATTATTAGTACTTTTTTTTTTTTTTCTTTTTCTCTCCTTAACTAAGTTGTATTTTTTTTTGTCTTTTTTGTCAATTTAATGTTCTATTTTTTTTTACAAAACTGAGCCATTTGCATCGTTGTTTTTTTTTAGTGTCGCAAAAAAAGTGTGGAGCCCTTTTTTTTTTTTCGGCGTCAGCATACCGCTGACATTTTTTTTTTAGACTCTGGGATCGATAAACATACATTTTTTTTTTTCGTACAGATCTGTTTATATATTTATTTTTTTTTTAGGTATTTATTTATTAAACCATTTATTTTTTTTTTTATTATTTTCCTGTTTCGCATCCGTTTTTTTTTTTGCTGCCGACCGCTCATTGCCGGATTATTTTTTTTTGGGCAAGACTACTCAGAATTAACCCATTTTTTTTTGAAAGTCCAGACTTAGCAATGACAAAATTTCAATTTTCAGGAGGACATGTTGGCGTTTCTATTTTTTTTTACGACTTTCCACAACATGATGGTTTCTTTTTTTTTGTRCCAGAMCCAACGGCCGTCCAAAATTTTTTTTTCGTTTRGCATCGAGATGAGGATTATCGTTCCGTAAGGCACGTCATCGGCAAACTACTGAAATTTTTTTTTTTCTGTTAAGAATTTCGTTATATACATTTTTTTTTGCTATAAAACAATGGATCATTCTAGTTTTTTTTTTAGTACAATTTAATTTTATGAAATGCTCCTTGACAAAATTGAGCACTTTTTTGAAAACATATTTTTTTTTTTTAAGTTATATTGTACTTTAATATTTTCATTATTGATAATACATCTGTTTTTGTTATTTACTTTTTTTTTGGGAGGGGGGTCATCACTAACTTTTCTTTTTTTTTCACTCAACCCCAGTCTCTTGATAATTTTTTTTTTTTTCCCAGTAAGAGACAATAATTAATGTTTTTTTTTAAAACGAACTTTCAGGTATATGTTTATTTTTTTTTCATCTATAAAAACTGACTCGAGCTCGTTTTTTTTTGCACTWACTGTTGACCATTCTGTTGCTTTTTTTTTCGGCCCATTTGACTGTCCAGTTTTTCTTTTTTTTTTGGAATGTTTTCGAAAAACGTCAAATTTTTTTTTTGTCGGGGGAGGGTTCGGTTCGCCTTTGGGATAGAGGGCTATAACGTGACACTGATATAAACTTTTTTTTTGGAGCCTACTTATAAAACGACCTTTTTTTTTTTTTAGCTGAAGATGTCACACATTCACCCTTTTTTTTTTGGTGTGATGGAATATGGAACAACGCATCAACGGACATACACACCAAAGAAAACATTACGCTTTTTTTTTTATGTTGGCAGTCTACAACGTAGTTCATTTTTTTTTGGCACCTTACACCTCTACCAGTAGATTTTTTTTTTTATTAATAGTATTTTGTTAACATTAGTTTTTTTTTCAAGTCCGTGTCCACATGTATCTAAATTTTTTTTTCCAGACAGCTTCCGCGTTTTCTTAGCTTTTACAAACAACCGTTGTAAAATCTAGCATTCGTTTTTTTTTTATAAAACATACTTTTATTAAATGCAATTTTTTTTTCAAGTGAATATAATGGTGTTTTTATATTTTTTTTTTGAAATGCTGAAAAAACTCAGGACAATGAGGTAATGAAATCATATTTTATAGGGGCCTATCAGGATACTGTAGGCGAGGTACTAACTAAATACGTTGTTCTTTCGTATATTATTTTGCCGCTCCGAGACCCAGTCTGGGCTGATCACAAAAAATGTCTTGCTGGATTCTTGAGCGGGATGAAAGAAACACTGTTTGTCAATATAACGAAAATCTTTAGGAAACCGGGACATCTGRCTTTGTAAGCGCCGGGCTACTAAACTCTGGGGCCTTTGTAACAATTGCTGTGTTCTTGCTCCACTGGACACCGTCATCCCAGAGATTGGACGGGGAAAATGCTGGTTTTGAGTAAAAAACTGCCAATGTCTATTAGTTGCACTTTTAGMTCTYCTGGATGTCGTRTTMGGTTCCAGTCCTTGGAGGTTAATGAGTTGTGGAGCGATGGATTTAGTTGGTGCAGGTAGTTGTATCGCCCTTGAAGTAAAAGGTTTGTAAGATGTCTCCCATGCCGCCTTCTTCGTGATTTGTTTAGGGACAGAAATGTTCTGAAATGGATCGTTTGCTCCTGTGTAACTTGATGAATATTCTGTTCGATAAACAAGTCTGGTGATGGTCTCTCGTAGCATGTCAGATTCTCCTCTGTGGTTCATTGGCATGTTTGCACTGGACGAAAGCCACGGACATAAACAAAGTACKATTTTTGTTTTAAATGAATAAAGAGAAATAGACGGAGAACATGAAAGCATTTACAAAGTTATGTTACACGAAAAGGTCGCTATGGTAACGATTGAGCGTTTTATTTACTCGACAAAAAGGTCACCGAGCTGTGACAGTTTTAGCAGTACATTAATTTATGTAATGACTCTTTTCTTGCYGTGATTGTGATAAGCATTTAAAGTCGACAACAGGCTAGAAAAGAGAGGTAAACAACAGACAAAAATGAAATAAAAGGAAATAAAAAAGAACTAAAGCTTGTCCATATTAATGAATAGTTTACGATTTCAATRCACAAGCTATTTCAAGAGGATGTATAGCCTGCGTGCACGCTAAAGGGTCTATTAAAGTCATCTAGTCCCTCGAGACAAGCTTAGATAATCGATAGATAAAAAGGTTGCTTAGTGACTATGGAAACGTTAGTACAAAATAAGGCACCATTACAGATGGATGTAAAGTATGAAAATAACAACAATCAGTTATTGACAATATCTAGAAAAGCTCCAAGATCACCATAAATAGATAGCAAAAAAGATCACACGACTAAACAGGACCAAACCATGTGCAACACAGAGATCWACAGTTAAAGTTGCAGGCAATCCAACAGACACTTTAAAGAAATTGATCTACTATTGTTTTAATGAAGCGCAAGATGTCTACATCTTGGAAAAGTATACCAACCTCTGGCAACGTACCAAACAAGATAACTCTACCGCCACTCCTGTCCATGACAATGAAATCACAAGACAACAAGTCTGAATATAATGATCACTTCACTCCTAAGATWAAACATACCCAGGTTAACGTCAAACTCGCACCAAGTTTCCTTTATCGGAGACCTCCGGCATTTGTTCGCGGTCAGCCAAAATGCGCTATYAATGCGGGATTTGTCCCTGCTGCAAGGTCCGGTGAGACAAAGGACTACCGATTTCTTCACAACAATTCTTTCTATAGCAGTACAAAACACGAAAGAGCTTATTTCACTATCAGACCTGATTGGGTTTCGGAGACAAACATCAGAAAGAACAACCCTTTCTCATGAGGTAATGTGAACATAGACAAGACATGACTTTGAAATATTTTCACCAGCAAAAACAGTGTAAATTGAGGTGTGTGTCTATATATTGAGTATAGCACCAAGGCAACGAAGCAAAAAGGATCAACCATTGCACACAATCCAGAAATTGAAAATGCTGTTTATTTAGATTTCTTTAAAAAGCAGTGTGTAATATTGTACAAGCACGAAATAAAACGCATTATAAAACAAAAAATTGGCTTTTGTGGCCACGACATCTTGCAGCTTTTGTAAACGTTTGTAAACTTGTTGATAAAAATGACCTGACTAAGTCTGCTTCATTTTAAGATTGCTTACAACTTGTCTTTGCAAAACATCTGATAACCATGAGAAATTCTGAAATAAAAAAAGTTAAAGATTAATGCAGGTTTCAAGTTTAAATGCAGTTATTGCAGATTCATAGTAGACTAAAACATAGTGGCGCTTGGATGTGGGAAACCAAGTTGATAACTGCTCATGCTCAGATGAAGCTATCTTCATCAATTATTTATTTTTCGATATTTTTTTAATTTATTTTCTGTTAAACTAAAATATCTTAGTTTCTTAGAGGGTTGTGTTTTAGAAGTCATTTAAAAATCTCGTAGTTCTTGTTATATCACTTTTAAAACATGTTGTTAAACTCATGAATAATGAATGAAGAAAACACAATATACAAAACTGTCTTGATCTGCATAAACTTCAAATCTAATTTTCTCAGCCAAATTCAATGTTATCTTTAAGTTTTTAGTAGATTATGAATGATTGTATACAACTAAACGTTTCACAAGTAATTTACAACATTCGCGTCCGTGGTGTTGTATGGGATTTACAATCTCTCGCCTTCGGCTCGAGATTGGTAAAATCCCATAAAATGGCTTACCGTCATAGCGAGGTAGAAAATTCCGAGATATGATCCAATGCCAACAGCTAAAAATAAGTCGAACACAGCAGGTTTCACTCTGTCGGTGTAAAGAAGAGGAACAGTCAACTGCTACGCAGCTCGATGTCGCCGCTTCGCGGCGAAGAACGGGGAGATTTTCACAGGGAATAACACAGAGAAACCTATGGAACCAGGGTCTCAATGCATACACCTGACTTTATAAAACTCATGAATTATTCATTAGACATTCTTCCAATGAGCATTCAATTATGGGTCACCTGACAGAACCTATAACTCAAGATACAACACTGATTAATTAAACAATTAGAGTTTTATAACTAAGCAATTCAGTAAGTTATAACATTCATGAATAAAACATCAGTGTTGCAACTGATTCACAGACACCACTAGAAAAGTTCTCAGTTTCAGACTCTCATCATAGAACTTCACAGGTTTCGAGTTGTAATGTACTTATTGTACTTATTGCAGCTGTTAAACTAAAATATTGTAGTTTCTTAGAGGTTTGGGTTATAGAAGTTATTTAAGAAACTCGTAGTTCGTGTTCGKCCTCGTGTTTATATCTCACAATAAAACACTCCTACTGGTGTTRTTAATCAATTCCAAAATAGTTTGACACTCCGAAACCATTGTASGCAAATTTCCTTTCTTMGTGAGTATGGAAGATTTACAACCTTGGTATTTATAAAAAGGGTGAGCTATGAAAATTGAAAAAGAAAAAATTACAAACGGAGTATCAATGCAGGAATTGTGGCTGCTAGTGTCARTGAAAAGAAGAATGCGATATCTTTATATTGGTTTAACTTGAAACACCTTCATATATGCTCTAGAATCTCTGGTGATGGTACCAAATGGGAAAATTGTAAAAAAAGAATGCAGATAAACGTGTATTGAATTGCATGTATTCTATAGCGCTGAGATAAGGAACGCATTAGTCCACGTAATCGGAGTTTCTTGGGAATGAATCTTTACCTGTACGCAGACATTTTAGCATCAAGTTGGTCATAGAATACAAATTCAGGGTCTCTGTGTAGAAATAATATTGACAGTCATCAATTTTGATTGAGATCGGACCTGTTGTTTTTTATTTATAAGTATAAAGGTTGTGGAATAGTGTTTTGTTATTGTAGCATCATTTACCTTTTATCAGCTTTGACAGTAGTCTTCTTGATATCCTTGATGTACCTGGACAACGCCTAAACAGGTAAAAATATCAATAAAAMGTMTGGCCATAGTGAAGAGAACAACCATGTATTACAAGACCGTAGAGCTATCTACGATGCGTCTATCCAAGTAGACCACAACAACTTTCTTTGCGTAAATCGCCTTCCGTTTTCGACTCATCGCTGGTACATCACTTTAAAATCTTGCGTTCGCTCTCTGCCTATACAAGCTTATTTTACCTAAATTTATATTCAAATTATTATGGGAATATCATAGTCATTTCCTATATGTATGAAATTCCTATTCATTGCTGTTCTGCARTGTTTTCCCCTGCGTACAAGAAGCTTACTCCCTGCTAATCCTCTTATCTTTTTTCTTACTAAAACTTAACCCTATCCGCTGATGAAATGTGCAATTATGAGTGATAGTGCTTTGTTTATCTAATGCTAAATGTTSAATCTAATATCTAAGTTAATGCTAAATAATTGACTAAAATATTACTAAAAAATCACTATAATTTCCTCCTCGTCAACCAAACTGATTGGTGTTGGTTACTGCAAACCAAGAGCGACACTATTAAGGCCCGTTTACACTTGCAATTTTTGCACCGCGRTTGTCGYGCGACAATCGCCTTAGTTTCGAACATGTTTGAAATTTAGCTGCAATCGCGTGGCTGTTTACACGTACGATTTGAGGTGCGCGAGAACAAAGTGGCGATTGTCGCGCGACAATCGCGCTGCAAAAATTGCAAGTGTAAACGGACCTTTAGATTAGTCATAAAAWCTCACCAGCTCTATTCCTTGTAGAAAAGGATGATCTTTGTGCAAGGCCTGTGCTGGTCTTGGTAGGTGACCCAGGTAGTTCATCCATGTCTTAATAAACTCAGAATCTACAGCCTTCACATAGAACAAAATACAAGTTTACACATTATATACAGCCTTTTGCAAAAATNGCATCATAGCATACCAAACCCCAAGTCAAAAAAACTACGATTTTGGTTTTATATCCTTTGATGCTATTTTTCTAACGATACAATCAATCCTAAGGCCACTGTAAATAGGCTTAATTTTTACCATATATGGTCATATGGCGGGAAATTTGAATTTCTTTAATTAGCTGTAACTTGGCGCCTATTTGTCCGATTGATATGGGGTCTTCACTAAAGTTGTTAATTTTGTGTTGCAAAAAATGTCTGTAACGTTCTGTGCAACTTTTGATGTATTTCAATGGTGTTACAAAAATGTATCAATTTGATGACGTCATAATTTTTGGAAACACGAAAAAAATGTCATTATTGTACAAAAAATGAACTTTTTTTCTTCTTATGCACATTTCGTAATACCCTGCTTCATTTTGAACAGAGATTTGTCCCTATATTACTGAAGAGAGTTTCAGAGCCGCTGGTAGTTTCAGAGCCCGCGATGCGGGAGGAAAAGTCCTAGCAATAGACCATCGTGCAAACTGAAATAGTCCCCGCGCTTTCCTCTTACATCCTTCCTTCCTTCATTTCTTTTTAAGCAGATTGCAAGCCGTGTGGATTGGTAATCTAAACACGCATTGATGTCATTGCCTCACAAGATGTTATCCGACTGTATCTATCATTGTAATAAGCTATTGAAATTGAAAGTCGATGTAGACAATAAAAACGCTTAATGAACAAGGTAATACAGATCATGAACTAAGTGTAGCGATGTAATATTTACAAATTTCGAAACGTTTTTACGATATATTAACATATTTTGATTGTCGCAAAAACATAACTTCATACTATCTAAAAAAGGTGAGGCTGGATTTACAAGGAAAAATGTGTTTTAAGTAAAAACACTTGAAATACTGAAAAAAAAGTTGAACATGTTGATTTTAATGCGAAAAGAAACTTTCATTTTCATCTAGTTTAGGTATGAAAATTCATTGGAGATTGACTAGATTGAAAATATTTCCGAGACGCATTTCGCGATTAAACATGGAAGGTGCGTTAAAACTGTTATCCAGTCCAGTGGACTTTAAGTTTACTCTTTTTTACTTTTCTTGTCAAAAAATGTTTTTACTAGTATTCTAAAACTCATGAATTATTCAATAGACATCCCCCCAATGACCATTCAAATATGGGTCACATGACAGTACCTATAACTCAAGCTACAAACACTGATTAATTAAACATGAGTTTTATAACTAACCGTTTCAGTTAGTTATAACACTCATGCATAAAGCATCAGTGTTGATTTACAGACACTCGATGTGTGCCCAGCACTAGAAAAGTTCTCAGGTTTAGACTCTCATCATAGAACTTCACTAGGTTTCGAGTTTAAATGCAGTTATTGCAGATTCATAGTAGACTAAAATATAGTGGTGCTTGGATGTGGGAAACCAAGTTGATTACTGCTCATGCTCAGATGAAGCTATCTTCATCAATTATTTATTTTTCGATATTTTTTTATTTATTTTCTGTTAAACTAAAATATCTTAGTTTCTTAGAGGGTTGTGTTTTAGAAGTCATTTAAAAAACTCGTAGTTCGTGTTATATCACTTTTAAAACATGTTGTTAAACTCATGAATAATGAATGAAGAAAACACAATATACAAAACTGTCTTGATCTGCATAAACTTCAAATCTAATTTTCTCTCAGCCAAATTCAATGTTATCTTTAAGTTTTTAGTAGATTATGAATGACTGTATACAACTAAGTACTTTACAACATTCGCGTCCGTGGTGTTGTATGGGATTTACAATCTCTCGCCTTCGGCTCGAGATTGGTAAAATCCCATAAAATGGCTTACCGTCATAGCGAGGTAGAAAATTCCGAGATATGATCCAATGCCAACAGCTAAAAATAAGTCGAACACAGCAGGTTTCACTCTGTCGGTGTAAAGAAGAGGACCAGTCAACTCAATGCATCAACCTGACTTTCTAAAACTCATGAATTATTCATTAGACATTCTTCCAGTGAGCATTTAATTATGGGTCACATGACAGAACCTATAACTCAAGATACAACACTGATTAATTAAA